GTTGAGGGTCCACTGTAATGTAAACAAACTGGGTAGGGCGCAGTTACCATATTAGAAAGTTAGGTGGGGAAGCCATATACTGAGTTTTGGTCATAATTTGAAATGTCTGTATTAGCAGAACATCATGAGGCAAAATGCCATAAAATGGGGCCCTGCTTAACTGAATATTTAGATACTATTCATATAATAGGTCAAGTACCTCTGGCACAAAAGATCTTCGTTAATGCCTAAATACATGGACAGTACATTAGTTTAAGTAGAGGCCAACAAGTAATGAATCAAAGAAACATGGACAAAATAAGCCTTTTATTTAATGACATTTTATGCTTGAAGGAACACTGTCAAATACAGAAAACTATGTTTCGGTACTTGACTAAAGCTGCACAGTGTGTGAAACATCATTAAATAAAAGGTTTACTCTGCCCATGTGTCTTTGATTTACATAAATATTGCAGCTCTGAAAAAAAGACGAAGATGAAAGAGTTATCAGTCTGAATATGATAGGATGCGTTAAACTGACACAAAGACCATGCTGTAAGATAAATAAATTGCACTTGATTATCTAATGAACATACAGAATGTGAAAATTTGGATATTATAACAACCAACTTTTGAAGAAAGCCAGTTTTAAGCCAGTCCTTAACCATAGAATTGATGAAGGAAAAAAGGTGAGTGGTGTGTTGAGGTACTATATGTGGAGACAAAAAAACATTATCTATGGAGGCAAAGAAGGGAACGTTTGAAAGTATAGCGGTACCAACTCTCTTATATGGGTGTGAAGCTTGGGTTGTAAATGCTGCAGCGAGGAGGTGGTTGGAGGCAGTGGAGATGTCCTGTCTAAGGGCAATGTGTGGTGTAAATATTATGCAGAAAATTCAGTGTAGAAATTAGGAGAAGGTGTGGAGTTAATAAAAGTATGTCAGAGGGCTGAAGAGGGGTTGTTGAGGTGGTTTGGTCATTTAGAGAGAATGGATCAAAGTAGAATGACATGGAGAGCATATAATTCTGTAGGGGAAGGAAGGCGGGGGAGGGGTCGTCCTCGAAAAGGTTGGAGTGAGGGGGTAAAGGAGGTTTTGTGGGTGAGGGGCTTGGACTTCCAGCAAGCATGCGTGAGCGTGTTAGATAGGAGTGAATGGACATGAATGGTATTTGGGACCTGACGAGCTGTTGGAGTGTAAGCAAGGTAATATTTAGTGAAGGGATTCAGGGAAACCGGTTATTTATTTATAGCCAGACTCGAGTACTGGAAATGGGAAGTACAATGCCTGCACTTTAACCCATTCAGGGTCCAAGGCCCAAATCTGAAGTGGTGCCCCAGTGTCCAAGAATTTTCAAAAAAAAAAAATTTGTTATTTTTCTTATGAAATCGTAGAGAATCTTTTTGTGAAGGTAATAAAACAAAAAGTACGAAATTTGGTGGAAAATTGACGAAATTATGCTCTCGCGAATTTTGATGTGTCAGCGATATTTACGAATCGGCGATTTTGCCGACTTTGACTCCCATTTTAGGCCAATTGCATTATTCCAATCAACCAAATTCTTAGCTATTTCACTAGTATTACTTCTATTCTATCGATTGAGCACAAGAAATCGCCAAGTCAACTGTTTCAACTACAGAATAAAGTGATCGGAAATTGTTAATTTGGCCAATTTAACACAAAGTTCAAAATACAGTGGACCCCCGCATAACGGACGCCTTGCATAACGGACAATCCGCATAGCGGACGCTTTGATCGCTAAAATTTTGCCCCGCATAGCGCCCAAAAACCCGCTCAGCGGCCTTCGTCCGAGACGCGTCCAATGTGCGGCCTGAGCCAGCCTCATATGTTCCGCCGGTGGCATTGTTTACCAGCCAGCCTCCGCGGTAACATTCAAGCATACAATCGGAATATTTCGTATTATTACAGTGTTTTCGGTGCTGTTTCTGGAAAATAAGTGACCATGGGCCCCCAAAAAAGCTTCTAGTTCCAACCCTACAGCAATAAAGGGTAGAATTCCTATAGAAATGAAGAAAGAGATCATTGATAAGTATGAAGTGGAGTTTCGTATCACCGACCTGTCGGGTTGTACAAGAAACCCAAATCAACCATCTCTTCTTTGTGGCCAAGAAAACGGAATCAAGGAATTTCTTGAAAAAGGTTTACTGTGTTTTTCGAAACCCCAAAATCGCAAGTGAGGAAAGATTTTGAGAGACCTTTTTGGTGTGGAAAATAAAAAAAGCTAGCAGGAGATGGGGTCTCTAAAGCGATCATATTAAAAAGGCTGGGAAGTTGCATGGGGATTTATTAAAAAAATGCCGAAACTAGTATGATGTATGAATTTTTAAGGCCAAAAAATTTGTTTGAGAGTTTTAAAGAAGCGTGGGGGCATCCATAGGTGAAAAGGGCTTGGGAGGCTGCCTTTGGGCCCACAAGCGGCTGAAAATTGTGCGGAATTCAAGGGTACATAGAAAACAAAGGACTGAAACCGAAAAAGTGTTTAATTTAAAGAAACCCGGGCCTGTTCGGAAGAAAATCCCCAAGCAGGCCTACATTATCGGGGGAAAAAAGGGGGACCCCCGGGAAAAAGCCAGAAAGACGGGCTTACTTTTTTGATGTGTGCAATGCTAGTGGTGTTTGCAAAGTTAAGCCTTTATTGTGATCACTCTGAAACTCCAGGGGTTCGGGGAAAAAAGAATTCCTAAAGGAAAATTTGGTTTGGGCTGGGAGATCAAACATAAGGCTGGGACTAGGGATTTTTCATAAGGTTACACCATGCATTTTGCCCCAATGTCAAAGATTACCAACTGAAAAAATTTTAAAACTTAAGTCCTCCTGGGTTAGACAATGCCCCGGGTCTCCTACACGGGGGGGGCAGAGCGACCTTTAGGGGGGCCTGAGCTTCTTTAAAGGGTGAATTTTTTTCCCTCCTAATACCCCCTCCCGAAAAACCCTGGCCCAAAGGGTCATTTCCAAACTTCAAGAAACTGACACAAAAGCTCGTTTAAAAATGCTTTGAAGTGACCACAGACACTCGCTTGACTCTAAAAAAGTTTTGGAAGGGCACTTTAATATCCTCAATTGTGTAAACCCTTTTAGGTAAAGGGTTGGGGGGGTGACTAAGAGAACCTTTAACTCTGCTTGGAAGAAACTGTGGGAAATGTTAGCAAAAAGGGGTTTGAAGGGTTTGAGGCTAACCCCAGAGGGTATACCTTTTAGGGAAACAATTGTGGCATTGGGGAAGTCCCTTGGGGGTTTGGGGGTTAGTGGGGGTGATGTGGAAGAGTTGGGGGAGGAGGCAAAGAAGACTAACCCTGATGAGCTGATAGATCAAATTTTAAGGGAAGAGGCCCGACCTGCGGAAAGGTTTTAAAGGAGGGGAAGAGAAATTGAAAAATTTTCCTACTTTTAAAGATTAAGGAAATGTGTGCAAAATGGCTTGAAGTGCAAACCTTTTTTTGAAAAAACACCCCCACCCCAGCATTGCAAACCGTCTGGTGACTGTTTACAAGACAAGTTTTTAACCCTTTAGACAAAAAAAAGGGAAGAGAGGTACGGCCACTATGGGCGAATTTTTGCGAAAGAATCCATGACTCTGAAACGGTCCTAGTGGGATTAAAAAAAAAAAAGGGAAGTAACCCCAAAAAGGACTTGCCTCCTCAAGTCTTAAAGGAAGGGGATTCCCCTTCTAAAAAACCTAAACTCTCTCTCCCCCCCTCCCATCCCCTCAAATTATCACCAGATCTTTAAAAAAGAAGTGTCAGTAATTGTGCATGCCTTTTTTCAATTTTGTGTCAAAATTTAAAATTTTTTTTTGGTAAAAAAAAATTTTTTTTATACTTTTTGGGGGTCTTGCACGGATTAATTTTTATTTCCTTATTTCTTTGGGAAAAACATTCACATAGCGAACATTTCGCATAACAGCCACCCTTTGCACGATTAAGGTCGCTATGCGGGGGGCCACTGTATTCCCAAATTTTAAAATGCTCCCCGAATAAAAATTAGGTATTTTCCCGGAACTAAAAATAACATTTCCTTGTTCTTATTACATTTTTAGCTTTCAAATAAATTCCATTTTGATTTTTTATTCACATAATGAATTTTTATTCACACCAAAAAATAGAAGATTTACTGTTATGCAATACTGTAATAATTGTATAAATATCATCACCATATTTGTGAATGTATATTAGACCCACCAGCTGACATGTATTAGATGTGTGAGGTCGTTTGTTTACTCTTGAATATCGGCAAAAATTTAACATTTCCGCTACTTTGAGCTCAGTTTCAAGCCATTTCCAGTGCTAAAACCAATCAAAATCATCTCTATTTCTGTAATATGTCTTCCATTCTATCAAATGAGACCAAGAAATCGCAAATACAACTATAAAAAACATACAAAAAAACACTGCAAAGTCGCTGTTTTAATCAAAAAATCATGATTTCAGTTTTTTGTCTCATTATACACAGTGTGCTGCAGGATCTGTTTTATGTGGTGCACACATACCACATAGATGTATTCTCTCATATCTAGGCCCAAATGTACCACTCACAGTTTATCAGAGTGAGCTGAGCTCATGACGTAGATCTACGGTTTGGACCCTGAACGTAAAGCCGTAGATCTATGGGACGGACCCTGAAAGGGTTAAAGGAGGGGTCTGGGATATTGGCAGTTTGGAGGGATATGTTATATATCTTTATATATGCTTCTAAACTCTTGTATCTGGGTGCCTCTGCAAAAAATAGTGATTATGTATGAGTGAAGTGAAAGTGTTGAATGATCATGAAAGTATTTAATTTTTGGGGATTTTATTTCTTTTTGGGTCACCCTGCCTCGGTGGGAGACAGCTGACTTGTTAAAAAAAAAAATCAACTCTAAATAGACTTTAAGGGAATAAACTGAAAAATACTTTTCATGTCACTAAAGTTTTTTGGTAGAGAATACACAACACTATTTAACAAAACTATTGCATTTAATACATATACATACACTGTATTCTGTGATATACTGCTAATGAATACCTTTCATTCCATGAATAGTACTATAATGCTTTTCTAGTTCCTGTTGTGAATTGAGTCTTGCCTTACAAACTGGACATAAATAGTTGGCTGATGGGTCTATGTGTCTGCTTCATAATGATCTTGAAGTAGTTCAGGTGTTGAGAAGCTCATATAGCATGTTGGACATAGAAAGCCCTCCACTGCTTCCCCAGGATCTCCATCAAGCTTTTCACCATTACCAGAAGGTTGTCCTGTTGCTTGAGGACCCACTTCACGCACCCGCTCTCCCACCTGGAATTTCAAATTTTGCAAACTTAACTCAAGGTTTGAATAAATACTACTAGGAAACAATAACAACAACAATACCAATGATAATAATATTAACACCATTGTGAATTAAATACAGTACAGTATACAACAACAGCAAAATATGCACTATGCTTCTTTGCTTGAGCTAATAACTAAAAAGCTAAATTAATAACACTAGAGCAAGAAATTACTTTAATAACATAAATGAAAATATATGTACATTACAGTATCTTAATTTATTTATTTACTTATTTACAACAAATATATGTACAAGGTATACAGGCCTAGGTGATATCAATGACATACTACTAATTAGAAAGCCCTTTGTTATGCAGAGCATTTCGGGAAAATTAGGTCAGTTTTGTCCCAGGATGCGACCCACACTAGTCGACTAACACTCAGGTACCCATTTTACTAATGAGTGAACATATACAAACAGTATAGGGAAACACGTCCGATGTTTTGACCCCTTCGCTGGGAACTGAACCCGGGCCCTCACCGTGTGAAGCGGGAGCTTTAGCCACCAGGCCACGGGGCATGAGTATTATCATGTAACCATCTACTTTCAACTTTTCCACTGCTCTTATATGTCTAGCCAGAAGTTCCTTTACAACAAAGTCCGTAACTACTTATAACACTGATGAAGACTGAGACACTTATGCAACATATGGGAAACTTTATTTAGGAAATGTTTCGCCACACAGTGGTTTCTTAAGTCCAATACAAAGCAGAGAGGGGTAAGGAGAGGAGGAGTTTGAGGTAATCAGTCCCTCAGCCTGGAATTGATTCCAGGAATCTTCAACTTGTCAGTTTTCAAACTACTAATCACATACAACATTGATGTTCAAATTTTAACATCCCCTGGCTGTATATACAGTGGACCCCCGGTTAACGATTTTAATCCGTGCAAGAGGGCTCATCGTTATGCGAAATAATCGTTATGCGAATGAATTTTCCCCATAAGAAATAATGGAAATAAAATTAATCCGTGCAAGACGCCCAAAAGTATGAAAAAAATTTTTTTTTACCACGTGAAATGTTAATTTTAATACACACAAATTTGAAAAAGGCATGCACAATTACATGACACTTACTTTTATTGAAGATCTGGTGATGATTGATGGGATGGGAGGAGGGGAGAGCATTATCTTCTTACTGTTTAGAAGGGGAATCCCCTTCCATTAGGACTTGAGGTAGCAAGTCCTTTTCTGGGGTTACTTCCCTTCTTCTTTTAATGCCACTAGGACCAGCTTGAGAGTCACTGGACCTCTGTCGCACAACAAATCTGTCCATAGAGCTCTGTACCTCCCGTTCCTTCAAGACTTTCCTAAAATGGGCCATAACATTGTCATTGAAATAGTCACCAGCACGGCTTGCAACAGCTGTGTCAGGGTGATTTTCATCTATAAAGGTTTGCAGTTCAACCCACTGTGCACACATTTCCTTAATCTTTGAAGTAGGCACAATGGATTCCACAACTGGCATAGGCTTCTCAGGGTTAGCCCCAAACCCTTCAAAATCTTTCTTAATTTCCATACTAATTCTCACCCTTTTTACCACAGGGTTGGCACTAGAAGCTTTCTTGGGGCCCATGGTCACTTATTTTCCAGAAACAGCACCGAAAACACTGTAATAATACGAAATATTCCGAGTGTATGCTTGGATGTTACCGCGGAGGCTGGCTGGTAAACAATGGGACGGCCGGCACATGTGAGGGCACATTGGACGCGTCTCGGACGAAAATCGGTAAGCGGGTTTTTAATCGGTATGCGCGGCAAAAATTTTGCGATAAAAGTAATCGTTATGCGGAAAAATCGCTATGTGATGCCATCGTTATGCGGGGGTCCACTGTATATCACAATAAAATACATATGAACTTTACCCTTGATCACTATGGTCAGAAAAACATTGAATTTTATATCCTTCAGTGACTATGCCAAGTTCTGTTTTAGCTTACTAACCTTATTCATGAAACTTTTGAGAGAGTTCATGATTGCTGATGTTCTCTCCCTTTCTGCATTCAGAAGCTGATTTACATCCTGAAAAATATAAGAAAATAAAGAAAACTGGGAGAACATAGTTAGTTTATTAGGTTTAAGTCCTATCGCTATATAAAGCTGGCCTAGCCAAAAACCTCAAAGGAAAATTTAATTTCTAAGGGAGGAAGTCATGTGACCTATCAGTGTATTGTATGTGCACTGGAAGATACACCATCTTGATATATTACGTATTACTGTATGTATTTCCTAAATATTATTTTAATTTTAACTTTTACTTGAATGTGATGTATAATATTCTAAAGCCAGGGCATGCTCTGACCTAAGTGTTTTCCACTTAACATTTGCCTTGATGGACTACCAAATTAAATCATTAATAAAATAGTAATAGAAAATGGTTGAAAAAACTGAAAGTATGCAGCATTATTGTAATGACCACTCACATAATTGACTTATAGTAGTTTTAAAATACTGGTTAATATCTAAAATCCAGTGGACTTCTGTGCCAACTTTCACGGGTGTGAACATTTCACTCTTGCCTGAGTATCAGTGACAAATTTCCCCTGCTCTCTCTCTCTGGGATGCTTGTCCTCATGTACTTTGCTCACCGGGCACTTTACACGAGGGGCACCTGGTTATCGGCTTACTCTTAGCCAGCTCCATTTTCCCACTCTGTGGATAATTCTTTAAAGGTCTTTGGTGGGAAGCTGGTTACTGAACTCAGGTGGGGGTGAGGGGGGGTCTTGCTCTGCTGGGGCTTGGCAAGGACATCCACTGGATCTAATTGGAAACTTCAAGTTTCTATTTCTGTTTACAAAGGAACTTTTGTCCATTTTCTTTCTTTGCCCTGCTTTGGGCAATAAACCTTCCTCGAACATTGGGAAGTCAGGCTCAATATGGCAAAAGCTGTTAGTGGTCCTAATACACCCAAACAAACAAACAAACAAATCTAAAATCCAGTTCTTTAGAGAATTCACATATTTTTTTAAAAACAGTATAAGCATGGCATCTGTATCCCAGCATTTTTTGTACAAACTAATATTTTGGGAGATGTTAACAAAAATATTACCTTACCATTATTTTGGCTTGAATGATGCATCAGGGCCAATCAATGGTTAATAATGAGTAGGGATGGGATAATACCAAAATTTGTACAGATACCGATATCAGTTTTAGGCTGAAACCAATATTATAAAAATTAACTAATACTCAATAATACTGAAATTAATCGAAATTAGTCAATACCCACCAATACCTAGATTCACTTTAAGGCCTAGACAACTGATATTGATACTTTAGCACACCTCTAGTACCAAATCAGTCACCAAGTATTGGCCAATCACAGCAGACACAAACAACAGTATGCAGTTATATGTATATCTACTGGTAGAATGGATCAAGTTATATTAGGCATTTTAGGTTAGGATATTTGGATTTTTGTCTGGATAATTTACATTTTTCCCCCCATTTGTGGAAAATAAAAATGTTCATGGCAAAATAACACTCAATATTGATGATATTAAGGAATAATTGACAATTCAATCACACAAGGACCCGATGTGGTTATTTACCAAAATATATACTGGTTTTTATATAGAATATTTTGTGAATTAACCTAATCATCAGACAATTCAATATAATTGTATAATTATTCTAGGTTAAATTCTACATAGTATATAAGAACATTATAAAAGAGTAAATTTATGCATGAAGCCTAAATGAACTTATTTAAAAGATATAGGGAGTATGGTGGGTGGGGTTACTATTATTCATGGGGGGGGGGAGCGTCAGATTAGTAGGGGCCATACAACACCTGGGAGAATGGAGGGGAATTAGGTATGATCCAAGAAGGAAAAGAGCATGTTTAATTCCTTGGATGAAGAGCCCCTCAGTGATATAAAGGAAGCTGCCTTGAGGGGTATGGTGGGTGTAACCAGCCGTACACTGCCCACTTCACACATCTTATACTCATCAAACACCACCAGATATACCACAAACACTTCCCTCTTTCAGAATAAGTTAGAAATGCTGCCTTACATTATATTTAAGATGCTGTTTATGATGAAAATTATTAGAAATAAGGCGAGATTAGTAGTGTAGAGGATGGCTTCTCAACGTAAACAAACCTTTCCTTACAATATCCTTATAGCCGTCTCCCCACGAACACATAAATGTTAAAAATATGCAAGTAATATCGAAAAATAACTAGTGAGTTTGCGGAATGCTATAAACCAACATCATATACTTGTATTATGACTACAAAATACCCGCAAATTAGAAAGTATGTATTACATATAATAACTTGAAGATATCTAAGACAAACTCCACAGCTGTAATAGCTGTTACGCCCTTTGTGCTCTTTATATATATTAGCTACATTAATTATCCTAATTTGTATATTATATACAATAAATACTTTAGTATTAACGCTTATTAAAAATACAAGTATCATTTTCACTAGAAAAGCAACATAATGAAAAGCAGATGTAAAATTAAAATGGAAATTCGCTGCCATAAATCTCCTCCTGGAAATAGTATCACCGTTTAATTTCATAAAAGGTGTTGTATAAAGTAGGAAGAGGGAAGAAAAGGTAATTATAGGTATGTGGAAGAGTGGAGAGTAGAGTTGAGGAAGGTAGAGAAGGAGAGAGCGGTGGTGTGCGCAGGTGTGACGGCCATCTTGAGTCTGTGTAGCTTTGTTAGTGTTGGCAGGAGGATGTGTGCGCCAGCCACCTCTTGACGTTCATGGCTCTCCTCGCACAACATTTACATTATATGGAGCGCCTTTGTCACTCGTATGCGCTGTTCTCAAGCCTCCGTAGCCAGCCAGGGTGCAGCAGGGCACGGGGGTGTAAATAGTGAATAGTGGTCTATGTAAAGTGACAAGTGATTGTAAACAAAGTGTTCAACCAACCTGGATTATATCCTCCACCTCCCGTCAGGAACCATGGGCGCCAGGAGTATACCCAGTGATAAGGTAGGTACTGTCCTGTCAGGAACCATGGGCGCCAGGAGTATACCCAGTGATAAGATAGGTACTGTCCTCCCGTCATGAACCATGGGTGCCAGGAGTATACCCAGTGATAAGGTAGGTACTGTCCTCCCGTCATGAACCATGGGTGCCAGGAGTATACCCAGTGATAAGGTAGGTACTGTCCTCCCGTCATGAACCATGGGTGCCAGGAGTATACCCAGTGATAAGGTAGGTACTGTCCTCCCGTCATGAACCATGGGCGCCAGGAGTATACCCAGTGATAAGGTAGGTACTGTCCTCCCGTCATGAACCATGGGTGCCAGGAGTATACCCAGTGATAAGGTAGGTACTGTCCTCCCGTCATGAACCATGGGTGCCAGGAGTATACCCAGTGATAAGGTAGGTACTGTCCTCCCGTCATGAACCATGGGCGCCAGGAGTATACCCAGTGATAAGGTAGGTACTGCCTTCCTGTCAGAACCATGGGTGCCAGGAGTATACCCAGTGATAAGATGGGTACTGCCCTCCTATCAGGAACCATGGGTGCCAGGAGTATACCCAGTGATAAGGTAGGTACTGTCCTCCCGTCATGAACCATGGGCGCCAGGAGTATACCCAGTGATAAGGTAGGTACTGCCCTCCTGTCAGAACCATGGGTGCCAGGAGTATACCCAGTGATAAGGTAAGTACTGTCCTCCCGTCATGAACCATGGGCGCCAGGAGTATACCCAGTGATAAGGTAGGTACTGTCCTCCCGTCATGAACCATGGGCGCCAGGAGTATACCCAGTGATAAGGTAGGTACTGTCCTCCTGTCAGAACCATGGTTGCCAGGAGTATACCCAGTGATAAGATGGGTACTGCCCTCCTATCAGGAACCATGGGTGCCAGGAGTATACCCAGTGATAAGGTAGGTACTGCCCTCCTATCAGGAACCATGGGCGCCAGGAGTATACCCAGTGATAAGGTAGGTACTGTCCTCCCGCCAGGAACCATGGGCGCCAGGAGTATACCCAGTGATAAGGTAGGTACTGTCCTCCTGTCAGAACCATGGGTGCCAGGAGTATACCCAGTGATAAGGTAGGTACTGCCCTCCTTTCAGGAACCATGGGCGCCAGGAGTATACCCAGTGATAAGGTAGGTACTGTCCTCCTGTCAGAACCATGGGCGTCAGGAGTATACCCAGTGATAAAGTAGGTACTGTCCTGTCAGGAGTATACCCAGTGATCAAGTATGTACTGTCCTGTCAGAACCATGGGCGTCAGTAGTATACCCAGTGATAAGGTAGGTACTGTCCTGTCAGAACCATGGGCGTCAGGAGTATACCCAGTGATAAGGTAGGTACTGTCCTGTCAGGAACCATGGGCGTCAGGAGTATACCCAGTGATAAGGTAGGTACTGTCCTCCTGTCAGGAACCATTGGCGCCAAGAGTATACCCAGTGATAAGGTAAGTACTGTCCTCCGGTCTGGAGCCATGGGCCTCGGGAATATACCCAGTAATAAGGTAGGTACTGACCTTCCGTCAGGAACCATGGGCATCAGGAATATACCCAGTGATAACGTAGGTACTGCCCTCCTGTCAGGAACCATAGGCGCCAGGAATATACCCAGTGATAAGGTAGGTACTGCCGTCCTGTCAGGAACCATGGGCATCAGGAATGTACCTAGTGATAAGGTAGGAACTGACCTCCCGTCAGGAGCCATGGGCGTCAGGCATATACAAAACACTGCACAGCAATACACTGCACAGCAATACACTGCACAGCAATACACTGCACAGCAGTACACTGCACAGCAGTACACTGCACAGCAATACACTGCACAGCAATACACTGCACAGCAATACACTGCACAGCAATACACTGCACAGCAATACACTGCACAGCAGTACACTGCACAGCAATACACTGCACAGCAATACACTGCACAGGAATACACTGCACAGCAATACACTGCACAGCAATACACTGCACAGCAATACACTGCACAGCAATACACTGCACAGCAGTACACTGCACAGCAGTACACTGCACAGCAATACACTGCACAGCAATACACTGCACAGCAATACACTGCACAGCAATACACTGCACAGCAGTACACTGCACAGCAATACACTGCACAGCAGTACACTGCACAGCAATACACTGCACAGCAATACACTGCACAGCAATACACTGCACGGCAATACACTGCACAGCAGTACACTGCACAGCAATACACTGCACAGCAATACACTACACGGCAATACACTACACGGCAATACACTACACGGCAATACACTACACGGCAATACACTACACGGCAATACACCACACATTACACCACACAGCAATACACTACACAGCATTACAGTACACAGCATTACACTACCCAGTACTACACTACACAACACAGCATTATACTACACTACACCTGGAGGTTACCTGGAGGTTATTCCAGGGATTAATGCCCCCGCGGCCCGGTCCATGACCAGGCCTCCCGATGGATCAGGGCCTGATCAACTAGGTTGTTACTGCTGGCCGCATGCAGTCCAATGTACCTGGAGTTTACCTGGAGAGAGTTCTGGGGGTCAACGCCCCCGCAGCCCGGTCTGTGACCAGGCCTCTTGCTGGTTCAGAGCCTGATCAACCAGGCTGTTACTGCTGGCTGCACGCAAACCAACGTACGAGCCACAGCCCGGCTGCTCAGGAACCGACTTTAGGTGCTTGTCCAGTGCCAGCTTGAAGACTGCCAGGGGTCTGTTGGTAATCCCCCTTATGTATGCTGGGAGGCAGTTGAACAGTCTCGGGTCCCTGACACTCATTGTATGGTCTCTTAACGTGCTAGTGACACCCCTGCTTTTCATTGGGGGGATGTTGCATCGTCTGCCAAGTCTTTTGCTTTCGTAGTGAGTGATTTTCGTGTGCAAGTTCGGTACTAGTCCCTCTTGGATTTTCCAGGTGTATATAATCATGTATCTCTCCTGCCTGCCTTCCAGGGAATACAGGTTTAGGAACCTCAAACGCTCCCAGTAATTGAGGTGTTTTATCTCCGTTATGCGCGCCGTGAAGGTTCTCTGTACATTTTCTAGGTCAGCAATTTCACCTGCCTTGAAAGGTGCTGTTAGTGTGCAGCAATATTCCAGCCTAGATAGAACAAGTGACCTGAAGAGTGTCATCATGGGCTTGGCCTCCCTAGTTTTGAAGGTTCTCGTTATCCATCCTGCCATTTTTCTAGCAGATGCGATTGATACAATGTTATGGTCCTTGAAGGTGAGATCCTCCGACATGATCACTCCCAGGTCTTTGACGTTGGTGTTTCGCTCTATTTTGTGGCCAGAATTTGTTTTGTACTCTGATGAAGATTTAATTTCCCACGAGCCACACCCCGGCTGATCTGGCACTGACTTTAGGTATCTGTCCAGCTCTCTCTTGAAGGCAGCCAGGGGTTTATTGGCAATTCCCCTAATGCTTGATGGGAGGCTGTTGAACAGTCTTGGGGCCCCAGACACTTATGGTGTTTTCCCTTAGTGTACTAATGGCATCCCTACTTTTTATTGGGGGCATTTTGCATCGCCTGCCCAGTCTTTTACTTTCGTAGGGAGTGATTTCTGTGTGCAGATTTGGGACCATTCCTTCCAGGATTTTCCAAGTGTAGATTATGATATATATCTCCCTCCTGCGTTCCAACGAGTACAAGTCAAGTGCTTCCAAGCGTTCCCAGTAGTTAAGGTGCTTGACAGAACTTATACGTGCAGTAAAGGATCTCTGTACACTCTCTAGATCTGTGATTTCACCTGCTTTGAATGGAGATGTTAATGAACAGCAGTATTCCAGCCTAGATAGAACAAGTGATTTGAAAAGGATCATCATTGGCTTGGCATCTCTCGTTTTGAACATTCTCATTATCCATCCTATCATTTTCTTTGCACGGGCGATCGTGGCACTGTTGTGATCCTTGAAAGTGAGATCCTCAGACATTATACTCCCAGGTCCCTTACATTATTTTTCTGCTCTATTGTATGGCCAGAGTCTGTAGTATACTCTGTTCTAGTTATTATCTCCTCCAGTTTTCCATAATAAAGTAGTTGGAATTTGTCCTCATTGAACATCATATTGTTTACCGTTGCCCACTGGAAAACTTTGTTTATATCTTCTTGGAGATTAACCGTGTCCTCAGCAGATGACAGCCTCATGCAGATCCTAGTATCATCTGCAAAGGATGATACGGTGCTGTGATGTATATCTCTGTCTATGTCTGATATGAAGATGAGGAATAAGATGGGGGCGAGTACTGTGCCTCGTGGAACAGAGCTCTTCACTATGGCAGCCTCCGATTTAACTCTGTTGACC